ATTGGAGTTTCATGGGAATTTAGAATTCACAAGCGGTCCCCAACCGCATGTATAGCACATGAGATTTGATTATAGTGGTGAAGGTTTCGTGCAGGACCATCCACACTTTTTGAAGGGCCGAATTCAGAGACCTGGTGCACTAAGTGCCACAAGGTCCCCAAACGACCCTCCGCAGGTTTTTACTTCTCCTAGACCAGTTGCCATTCAAGGCTATAGAACCCAGTCTGTCCTGCTATTTACCCATAGCTGGAGGGAGAAGAAAAGGATTCACCCCTTTCCCAAGGGTATTAGCACGTAAGTGAATGTAATGGATTCAACTGGAATTCGAACTCGGCTCTTAATCCAAGCCGCTATCCATTACTCCACCGTGCCTCCTCATTATGAGTGTAAGGATTGTTCTACAAAAAATGTGTTATGACGAACATAAGTGGATATGTGTGGATTTTAAAATGGTTAACTTTTTGTTAAGGCAGTAAGGTGGTTTTACGAACTACCCATATTGTTTCCTTTGTCTATGGAATAGCAGAGCCAATGATCCTCATTGGGGAAAAATGGATTAATCTATTTGTGAAGATCTTGTTGTAGGGACGAAAAATGTTATAAATGAACCGCTGGTTAACTGCGATCGCATCGTCCTGTCCCCACTACATTTCAAGTTGGGATTATGAAACAATTTGACAAGGCATTAGATCAAAATGGCGCATGTTTCAGCAATGAGAAACTGAAGGCAGGAATTGTTTGATGAGACAAAAATAAGAAAACTGATTAACGATGAAAATTTTGCCTTCCACATGACTGAGGCTGCTACGTGGACTTTTTTTTTTTTTGGCGCAGTTGTGAAAGGCTTCCTGGCCAAAAAGAAAGCGGGTAACTATCAGGAACTAGTCAAAGTGATGCTAAAAACTTCCAAACTCGTGGAACAAGAATGAGTATTAAAACCCACTGTTTAGACATTTAAACAGATTCCCTGAAAACCTTGGTGATGTAAGCGGAGAACAGGGAGAACGTTTTCAACAAAACCTCAATACTATACAGAGGCGGTACTAAGGCCAATGGGATGCCCACATGATGTCTCATTATGTGCTCAGAAAACTCACAAAAAGCAATCATATAAGAGAAGATTCCTTCAGATGAAGCAACATACAATGACCTGGACAGCTTGCAATATTGGACTTGTAAGATATGTTGAATAGCTAAATTACATATTTTGATAATTGACTTTTGGTGTGAAATTTCATTGGAAAACATTTTTATTTTATAATTTTTCATTAATCTCTTGTAATAAATGAGGATACAACTGGAAAATCTCTTCTTTGTTCATTGTTAAAATAGTAGCGTGCTGTAAGTAAATATTACACTTTAATTATTCATATACAATCAGAAAACTTAAATAAAAGTGATACATTTATTCAACATTGTAAAATTACCAGTTAATAGCCTAACTTTCATAATAAATGTGGTTTGTTGAAATATTCATGCAGCAATAACGCACTAATCCAATTAGTATAATTATGTACAGATTCCCAGACACGAAAAACACATTTCAGCAATATCTTAAAAACTAGAGCCAATTTGGCAAAACCAATGTTCTCAAATTCAGTGACTACCAATATACCTCGGAAACAGTTTTACATATATAAAAAAAAGTGTTGGCCAGTGTAATTAGCTGTATGTTTGCATACCATTCAAACAAATTAAATTCTAGACTAATTTTACCCGGTCCTCCGATTATTCGAACCACCCGTTTATTCCACGCCACCCGCTTAGATTTGGGGGGGGGAAGAAAAAGATCCACTCTCGCTCTTATTGAAATATTTATTTTCGTGGAAACTTCCTACAAAAATGATAAATTCTCAAAAACTTAATTTAAAATTACGAAATTGATCTGATATAAATTTAAAAAAAAATAATTCAAATTATAAAATTTATATTTACTTGTGTACCGTCTTTCCTCATTATTTCAAAAATTATTTAAAAGATGACTTCAGAAAAGAACATTTGACTGAGTGGGTGATTTGGTTGTTTTTTACGGCTTATCCACCGCTTGCGGGTTATTTAAAGCCAGAAAATTATAAGTTATTTCTAAGAAAATTTGAAGAGAATAATAATTTACTGATACAAGTCCTACTAATTAAGTCATAGTTGGGGGAGAAGAGAATAGATGAATTCATATGTAATCAGAATTTGATAAACAAACAAAAAATTATAACATGGGGAAAATTCTATCTATCAATTAATATAAGAACTAATCCCCCACTTTGTGTACATGGCAGTTTCTACACATTTATATTACAGATAGATACCGTATTATCATAGCATTTGTTCTTAATACTGAGCCAAACCTTCTCTAAAAAAGCAAGCATAGCGCTTATAAAGTGCAGAGAATGATTTTTGTTGTTGTTGTTGTTGTTGTTGCCTAGCAACCATAAACGTACAAAAAATTAATGTCCTTGAAAAAGCCCGGTTGTAGCCAGTTGAGACTAAAAATAACTGATACAAAGATTGTTTATAATTGATGTCGAAACAATAGAACTATCAAGTCATTCAGATCAGACTATTCATTCATCTTGTATTTTTCGCATCAAAACGATCGGTGTCGCCTGGATAATGTGGCTTTCATGTTCACGTATTGAATGTTGCTCAACGGTCAATTAGGCATAGCTATGGAATGTGCAGGCGGTGTAATGGCTTGCAGCTCGGTAAGAGAAATCGGTGAGCTGATTTCGAATTCCAGTCGAGTTCGTGGCATTCACTTTTGCACAAATATCCTTGGAAAAAGTACAAAATCATCTCTTGGGGTTAAATCATCTCTGGGTTAAAGAGACGTACAATTCTGAATTTCAAACCCAGCCACCTGAAACCGTGCAAAGATGGTTAGACATGGAGCACAAAGATAACAGATCTCAGTAACTTGATTATTCAGAAACTGATGACATCAACTCAAGGTACTGGTAACTCGGGCAGTCGCCTAGGGCGCTATTAAGGCCGAGGGCTCCATTATGCCACCATGTCATGTATTTGGAATCTTCCAAAACTAAAGTTTATAAAAACATACTTGCAGTCGTCCTTGTCTCAAGACAGATTAAAATTCTTTGGTTATTTTTTCAATAGAAACAGATCTTGTAAAGAAAATAGTTGTAGAAAAGTGCCTTGAAAGGGTTTGCAGAGCTAAACTCTAGATAAAGGTTTCAGGTAGGATAATGAATGTTTTCATTAGCTTATATTAAAATGTATATTGTAATAAATTCGATCCTCTACATTTTCCGTTTTTCTCCTAGTAAAAAAATAAAAAAAAAAAAAAAAAATACTTGTAAGGGCGCCGAATTTCAGCTTGTCTGGGATGCCAGCAAACCTAGGGCCATCACTGTCTGACACCAATGGCATTGGGTCAAAAGAAGATGAATTGGTTTGGTTTCGGCTTAACAGCTCATCAACAGCTATAGGGTTATTTACCGTTAGATAAAGGTTTTGAATTGAGGTTGTTTGGGGTATAACTTGATGTTATATGTGGAACAGTGATAGATTTAGGTACAAGTTAGTTGGTGCAAGTTTTTTTCTTTTTCTTTTTCTTTTAATCAGTTTAATAACTGATTAAAAAGATTTAGTGATAATAGATGGTAGAATGAATTCAAAAATATATCAAAATGTTTTGGACTCTAATTTATTTGGGTGAGTAGTAAAGCTTGAACATCCAAATGAATAGGTTTTGCAGCAAGATAATGACCCTAAACATACGACTAAATTTACGAAAAACTGGCTTATTGAAAACAATGTCAATACACTCGAATGGCTATCACAGTCTCCAGACTTGAATCCAACAGAGAATTTGTGACATTTATTAAAAATTCAAGTTAATAAAAGAGCTTCGAAAAACATCCTGGACCTAAAGAGATTATGCAAAGAAGACTGGAGTAAAATACCAAGGGAAACTTGCAAATCATCGATTAAAAGCAACAGAAAGAGACTAATTGCTGTTGAATTGAGGAAGGGATATGCTACAAAGTATTAAAATGTTATTATAATGTTGTACGAATACTTATTTCGCCACCATTTTTTTAATTTCATATAATCTCACTAATATAACAAACTTTTCTGATTTTTTTTTGTATATTACAGCATTATGCTATGGTATACAGATATTGTATGGATTATAAAATTCTTTTATAAAATAAAACTATGTTAAATAAAAAAAATCCTGATGTACGAATATTTATCCCCCCCTTGGTGCATATATATATATATATATATATATATATATATATATATATATATATACTCTACTCTAGCACTGGTTTAAGAATAGTATTTTTTGGTTATTGGAATTTATTCTGTATACACCAATCCTATAATTGAAGATATATATATATATATATATTATACACACACACACACACAGCGGGGGTGGGATAAATATTCTTACACCATGAATTTATATATATATATATATATATATATATATATATACACGCACACACACACAGATGTTACCTGTGTTCCTGTCATAGAACGACTGAGCCAGACTTGCGAGTTTCATGTTTAAACATTTCTCGTGCTCATTTGCGTTTTTTTTTTTTTGTGTACATTTAATTTTTATTTCCTGAAATAATTTTTAAGTTTGAAAATATTAAAACCGTCAAATTTCCCGAGATGTCTTTAAGTATGAGATGAAAATAAAACAATGGAATATGTTTGCATTTGCGTGCACAATTTTCACGATAATAAGTTTATAAGTTCCAGTGGCGGTCATATTTGGTTTCGTCACTGAAACACTGCAGGAGCATTTGAAAAGTAACGAGGAGAGGTATATTATGTGTGTGTGTGTGTAAAAAAAAAATAGATAGATATGAAAAATTGGTGAAAGTCTCTCACCGCCGAAAAAATCTGTACACTCACCAGATAGACAAATTCCATGTAGGTTTTGCAACCCGTCAGCGGGTCTTTTGTTAGTATATGTAGCGAGACTGTATCCATCGCAAGCTTGCTATGCCTGTCGCGTAAGCTCACAACACCTGGTGTTCACCAGTTGTCACCTACTGAGTACTAACCAGACACAACGTTGCTTAACTTCGGTGATCGGACAAGAACCGGTGTTTTAATGTGATATGGGCGTACGCATGGCAAATAAACAAAATAAAGATTTTTAAAAGTAATATTTTGGGGGAAGAGATTTCCAACCTGCGACCCCCTTGACAGGAGAAACCTTCGTTAGATCTGACAAGCTTATACCAACTCGAAGAACATTGCCGATCAAGCAAGGCTGAATATTGCCTTTAAGTAAAATCCTTTTCGTCATAGATTCTGGAAATTTAATATCTACTCAGTTTCGTATCCAAACGTAAACAAAGTAATTTCTTAGGAAGTAATGGATTTTTATTTATTAACAGATTTTTATCACTTAAACGTTACTTTTGGTGGATACCCCTATTTGAGTAGACGCTCCGTTTTTGTTTTTCTGAATAACGTTTCTAAGTGATTAACCCAGACTCCTCATCAAAACAAGGCGTCCCCTTAAGTTGCCCCGTACATTTTCATTGACTGCTATCTAAACTAAACTCAAAGCCCCCATTCCGAGACAGTCAGACTACGACTGAGGAGGATCGGCATAAGGCAGTGCTGGCTGAAACAGACTATACCCACATGAGGTAATTTGGGATTTTTGTTGCATAACACACACAAAAACACACACATATATATATATATATATATATATATATATATATATATATAAAATAGAAAGAGAGAGATAATACATGTAAAAGTTTTATTACTTAGCTGACTGATGTTGCCTACAGCATCCCGACTCCAAAGTTTCGTCGACGGAGCCTTCGGCTATTACTCCGTTCATTCGGCAGGGGATATCAGCAAGTGACTGCTTATACATCTCGATTCTTTTTTTTTTCATATGCACTTTTCATTGGTGCAAGTTTTTTTTTTTTCATAATGTATGTCACGTGTGTGCGTTCGCGAGCATGCGCCCATCTGCGCGTACGGGAAGAATGTCACAATTATTTGTCCTTTGTGCTGTTTTTTTTCACTTCACTCCTTAACCGTTTGTCTTTTTTTCCTCTTTTCTTTCTATTGTTACCATTTGACTTCCCGTTTTCTAGACATGTTGTCCTCGTTAATTTTTGAGCGTTCTAGTTTTTTCTTAGGAAAATTGTATTTCATTTTTTTTTACATACATAATAAATTTTAATGCTTAAATAATAAAGTCAATATTTATATATGCCTTCACGTGGCTATTATTTTGTTTTCTTATCTGATTTGGTGGTATCTTAAGTACTATTAGGGTATTAAGTGTAGGAGGTTATATTTATATTTTTATTTATTATTGTTTGAATTTGTACTTATATGCTTATATTCATGCGTTTACGCACACACAAATATATATACATAGATATACACATATGCACATGCTCACACTCAAATATATGCATATACGCATATGCACACACAAAAATATATATGTATACAAACGTGCGCACAGAAACATATGCAAACTTGCGTCTATGCTTTGTTATATAAACTAGTGCTTAAATGGTAAAGTGATTTTTCCATATTTTCAGGGTATTAATTATAGGTGGTTGTGTTTATGGAGTATTTTCTTTGTCATTTGAATATATGTATACAGAATATATACTCCGGCACATACACACATATATGTTTGTTTTTTAAATAGTGTATACCTAGTATAAATTAAATGTTTGCTTATATGTGATAAATTTATGTTTCATTTTTATTTAATAGCTAGTAGTTTATTTGTTTTTGCCTTGGTGTTATCTTATATATTGAGGTATTAATTATGGAAGGTTAGTTTTGTTCGTTTGTATATTTATATATCTAACTCGCATACAAACATACATACGCGTGTAGATGTGTATATTTAATATTTATTCGTTTATTTTTATTGCTTTTTTGAATTTTGTTTATTTTATCCTTATTTTATTTATATTTCTATTTATTTTATTCTATTTATTTTATGTTTATATTTTTAAGTTTATATTTTATTTATTTTTTAAAGTTTATGCTATATTTATCTTTAAGTTTATATTATATTTTTTATTACTGTCAAAAAAATTATTTTTAAGCCTACATTTACCCATTATTTCCTTTTTTCTTGTTTAAGAGTTTATTTTGTTTTTAAAATTAATTAATGCTAATCTTCCCTATATATATATATATATATATATATATATATATATATATATATATATATATTCATGAAATGGACAAAGTCCGACAATTATTTTAAGATATATGTTTATAAATTCTTTCTTTAGATACAAATATTTAAGTAAATGCTTTGTTTTATAATAAACAGTATTTATAACATTTATCGGCCTGAATGTCCGAGAAGTTTTTATAGAAAATATAAGTCCTCCGACAGGAATTGAACCTGTATCCTATACGGAACCGTCTTTTAGCCTGATGTTCGATTAGCTTTACTTAAATATTTGTATCTATAAAAAGAATGTATAAACATAAAATACATATACATATACATATATATATATATATATATATATATATTAGGGAGACGCCGCAGGAAAAAAAGACGCCATAAAAAAGAGAAAAAATAAAAAAAATGTCGTGATGGAAAAATAAATAAAAAATTTGGGAGAAATATGACAACAAAAGAAAAGGAAAAGGCAAAACTCGTGAGAGATGTTGATATAAATACAAAAGATGGGAATAACATGGGGAAAAAATAAAAGAAAAGGAAAGGCAAATTTGTGAGAGAGGGTAAAATAAACACAAATTATGTGGAAAATACAAGATAAAGAAAGAAGGTAAGCAAAGCTTGTGATATTGGGAGGGGGGTACAATAAACACAAAAAGATAGGGATAAATATCAGTAACTACTGTTGGGATCTTGCGCTAACTCACGAAAATATTGCAGCTATTTCAAACTCTTCAAATATTTCTACGGAGAATTATGAAATTTTTATTGATAGCTCTTTGAATGGTTTTTTTTTTTTTAATATGGTTATACTATGATTTTTTGTTCAATATCTATGAATGTTATTCCCGCATTTGATATTGATCATTTCCATAATATTTACTGTCTAAAGCTATTAACTTGTGCTAACTTCGATACTAATATAAAGTCCTCTTTTGATTTTCGTTTCTTGAAGATAACATTCACCAATATGTTAAACTGGTAAAAAAATGTAGTTTAAAAAGGGTTTAAACACCACTGTATTGGTGTATCAGTTTTATAAAAAAAAAAAAAAAAAAAAAAAAACTGTTCTAATTGTTTGTCTGTGTCATTAACGTTACGAACTGCGAGTTTAGGCGACGGAAAACGACTGAATAATATAGAACGTTGTCTCGACTTTCTACCGGAAGTTCACATTGACCGCTCGGTGTAACACCATTGTCATTCTTTCACGTCATTCAAACCTCACTTCATTAAATTAACGGTTCATTTCCGGATTCATGAACACCGACTGATGAATAGTCATTGCAAGAAAAAAAATATAAGGAGACAACAATCCCATAATCTGACGGAAAAATGCAAAATCTTGTGATGTAAAGTGCTTTTTGAGCGCCCTGGCTTAGTGCTAATGATACTCGGGCTCCAAAACTATGCTTGACCCCAGGTGAAGAATTTGCTGGTAGAACAGATGTTGTCTTCACAGCGGTACATACATTTTTTCTAACACGTTTTAATAACGGTTATGTAAATACGCATAATAGAGAAGACAAAATTCTTGAACTAAAGTCAGTGACGATTACTGGAACTGTTTTATCCTGGCCCCTTTGCTAATTGAACAGTATGACTGGGGATAGATACAGATGTAAATGGTTAAAAGAAGAGATGGAGAGAATAAGAAGGTGCTGTTAATAAAATATGTCGTAGAAGAGAACAACGACCAGTTTAGTTAATTTAGAAAAATGTCCATTGTCATTTTTTCTATAACGGCAAACATTGCTCAAAATTTAGTAAACTATTTCCTTCTTTCTTTTTGTCTTTGTCTTTTTCCCCTTTTATTTTTGTTCCCTTTTTACATGCTTTTTATTTTCCTTTTTCTTTTATTCCTTTTTTCCTTCTTTATTTTTCCTTTTCGGTTTGCTTTTAATCTTACTGTCTTTTTCTTATTTTCTTTTTCCCTTCCCTAATTTTCTTTTTCCTTTTCCCCTCTTAATTTTTTTCTTTGTTCCTTTTACTTTCTTCTTTTCTCTTTTTCTTTCTTTTTGTTTCATCCACATCCTTTAGTGCGAAATATTATCCTCATCTTTGTTGTTTTCAATAAAGCTTTTAACAGATGGGTCTTTCCTCGTGTTTATATCGATTATAGCAATTTGAAAATGCCGTTCACAATTTTTCTGATATTATTCACTTCCTCAAGAGGTAACTACTATGTACTTTTAGTCATAAAGTTTTTGATTCTCACGATTTCTGGAAAAATCACCAACAAGATTTTTATAACAGAGACAAACGGTGAGTGCCTATTATCATTAATGGTCTCATCCTCATCGGATAAAACTAAACACTTTGCATTCCACGATAGACGACAAGGGTCCTTCTCTATTTGACTTCCCTGGACTCTCACGAAGCAAAAGCTTTGTAATTTATCTCGGCTCGAATAGTTTCCAGACTCATCAAAAGCCTTGACTTTTGTTATAGTGGAACACACTTATTCTTTAATATTCTTTAGTTAATAGACTCTCCCACCTATAATAAGTAGTAGTAGTAGTAATAGTCGCTAAGTCGCTCAAGGAGTTGGTCAGTCAGTCGATGTCGGACGACCGTTAGTCGGATACTAAAGTATCAGCGACCACAACTAGATTTACTCTGCGTCATTACCTATTATATCAAGTTCCTAACGTTTTGTTCGTCGAACCTATTTTAGGACCGACTTAGTACAAATACAAGCTTCCACTGTGAAACTACTCTACAACACTTGGCAACGACGATTCGAAACTCATACGGAGGAAGAAAAAATTCCGTTCACTCTGCAACAACTTTACGAAGACTAATGGCCTGAATAAGATTCCTGTGGTTATTCTTAAGAACCTTGGCCCAGATTTCTCTCTAATCATGGCTAAGTTGTTTAACCACTATCCGAAGGAGAAATGTTTTTCAAGGCATGGAATATGTCAGCCG